GGTTCCATAGCAGTTGACAGGGCATTTAAAATTTAGCTTTGGGGGTATATGTTCCTTTAGTCTCTATTCATGCATTTTGGTGGCTTTTCATTATCTTTTCTTGAACATTTGTACTGTTATTGTATTTCAGCTAAGACAAAAGCATGGGTTATTTTGAGTGGAAAAACTTGGCATAGCCATCACGATCATAGCACTTTTTAGTTAAGTAGCACCTCTCACCTGAGGTTTACAAAGCGCTTTTGTGTACATTTTATTAGTCGTGGTAGGATGGAGGTCAGGGGAAAAGTTATTTGTAGGCCTTTAAAGTCTCTATGGAAATATAACTCAGACCCTGGGGAGAAAGCAATTTTCATCTTTAGTGCTCTGGATATGAATATGTGTATAAAATGATGTCTAAGTTTTCCAGTGCCATTCTTCAAAAATGGAACCAGATATGGTTGGATTTAATGCACTTTTAAACCTGTTTTAAAATAAATCCTTTTTAACCCCCTCCAGCAACTGCTTCGAGAACGACAGCAGATGGCCAGCCGTCCCTTTGCTTCTGTTGATGTAGCGCTGGAAGTGGGAGCTGAACAAACAAACTTTCTGCGAGGGCCATTAGAGGTAGGAACAGCGGTGCTGAAAGGGGACCGCTGTGATTTGCATATTTCTATTGCTTCTCTAATCTGCATCTGCTTGTGAAGCCAAACAGAGTCTGATTATCTAGAGTTGACAAGATTCAGCTACATATGTTATGCCATTTTCGAGGCACATAGTTTTAATAGTATGACATGAGCTGTAACAAAAGCCACTGGAGAATCTATTAGCTTAGGCAAGAGTGACAGACTGCTCACCTGGCAGCCTTTCCCTGACAGTAGGAGCAGAAGGAATTTAAGATACAGGTATGATGGAAGAAACAAAGCACCTATATTTAGACCTTGGAGTACCAGTACCCCCTAGTTAACAATTCACTCATATTTCTCTCTATTTATTAACCATGTTTACCACAAAAGATGGGTGGAGATGAGTCGCATTTTAATTACATAGTCTCATTTTTGAATGTTGAGAAGTGCAAAATATAGTAAGTGTTTTCATTTGTAGTTAACGGCTGCATTACTACATTCCTTTATTGCAAATACAGAAATATTGCAAATTACGGTGAAACAGAGATCATTATGTGCAAGTAAATGTGGTATTGGAATCCTGAAATAATGGCTTCTGAATATAATAACCCCCAAAGAGGAAAAATTCACCGGTTATGATTAACAATTGAAGTATTTTGAGCCATACTAATGTAATTGTATCCTTATTTTAATTTATATTTTATATGTAGTAAAATGTTTAAGTAGGAAGATTAGGAAAATTCATAGAATTAAAATACTTTATTTCCTTTTAAAAGATGTCCTTATTTTAATAATTTCATGTTGCTATTTCCAGATTTTGATGTTATTCAAGAAAAGCCAGGAATATGAAAAATAGACTCCTTCAAATGCAAATAGGAAATACAAATATAATTCATTCTGTTTATAGCATTTTTAGTTATTCTGGAAAAATAAAACTAAATAATAATCATGGCTGCCATTCATAGGATCAGTTTTTGGAGGGAATAGAATATTTGAGAGAATGTTTTCTTTTTTTTCTAGCTTACAGTCTTGATTATATTTTACTACTTTAGATTATAGGTTGTCATGGAAGCTTAGAATGTTAGCAAATTTATGTGTATATCTTCCAGTACTTGGGAAGAAATTAGAAAACAGAGAATGAATAAATGAAAGTTGCAGTAAGTACACTAATTTCATTTTGGCCCCTTGTTCGAGATCACTTTCACATGAAACCTTTAACAAACAGGAAATCCTGAACTATTAGAATTCAGATTCTTTTTTTCTCTCCATGTGTTTAAAACATTGTCAACTACTGCAAAAAAAAAAATAAATAAAATAATAACAGGAAAATGGATGTAAGCAATTTTTACTTATGTCAAGAAGGAAAGGAAATCATCAAACAGCTAGAAAACTCACAAGCATAAATAAATACGCACAACATAGCGTTCATACATTGGTCCTTAGTAGCGTTCCCAAATGTATCGTTAGATGTTCCTGTGTTCATAAGCATCGTGGCTTCGTGTTTCATTTTTCCCCAAATTTTATTTTCTTCTTTATCACTGTGATTTCTTTAACCTGAAAGTTCATTTCATAGAGTTTCTGGGACCAGCAGTTGGCATAATGGCTGTGTCATTGTACTCCCATGTAGTGGACTGTGGTTTGAGTCCTGGAACCGGTGGCTTAAACTCGCACCTGGCGTGTATGCATGCGTGCCCAAGATTCCAAGAGGAGAATGGAGGAGAAGGGATTATGGCATGTCTGTCCCCCTTGGGAGGTGATTTCTCGCTTTCTGTCTCTCTGTCTCTCTTTCTGGCGAGTACACATGGCCTATAGCAAAAATATCTCAAAAAATAAATAAATAAAGCTTATTTTCTAGAATTTCAAAATGTCTGCCCCCTTTTCTCTTTTATTTCAGGTTTCCCTGGTGATCCTTCTTTCATTCCTTATTTCTAACTTCTCTGAATTATTTTGTTTTATATCTATCCCCTGTAGAAAAGGATAGTTTCCCATCCACTCTGTGAGTCCTTTGGTTGGTATTTGCAGTCACAATAATTACTGCCTTGCCAAGGCTTGTTTCTGCAAACTGATTTTGTACGTGTGTAAATTATTTAGCTTTGTTTCTTTTTCCTAGATAAATTGATTTTTATCTACTAAATTGAGTATTGTGTATTCTATTTCTGTTTCTGATAATTATCCCTTACTTAACAAGGCATAGTAATAGTTTCTTTTTTAGTAATGTTTAAAGTATCAATTCTCTGTTTCTCCTACCATATATTGACACTATGACATTTTTTGTTTTTGTTTGTTTCTTTGTTTTATTTTTGTTTTGTTTGTTTGTTTGTTTGTTTTTGCTATAGGATGTGTGTACTCCTCAAAGAGAGACAGAGAGAAGAAAAGTGAGAAATCATTCTTGTGGGGGATGGCCATGTGGTAATCTCTTCTCCATTCTCCTCTCAGGATTTTGGGCATGCACACACATGCCCCCTGCATGATTTTCAAGCTGCCAGGTCTGGAGTTTGAACCACAGTCAGCCATGTGAGAATCTAGCACCTTTGGGACCGGCAGTTGGCGTAATGGCTATGTCACTGGACTCCCATGTAGTCGACCATGGTTTGAGCACTGGATCTGGTGGCTTAAACTCATGCCAGGCGTGTATGCGTGCGTCCTCCCTCCAGTCCCAAGAAAGCACTAAGCTATTTTCTTTCTCTGTAGATTTTGCTATTTTGGACGTTTTATAAAAATGAAGTAATATAATATATGGTCTTTTGTGATTCTCTTCTTTCAGTTTGCGTAACTTTTCAGAGTTCATTGTGTTGTAAGATATATCAGTGGGCCAGCAGGTGGCATGTTGGTTAAGGGCACTGGACTCCCACATGGCTGACTGTGGTTCAAATCCTGGACCTGGCAGCTTGCTTTCTCGGTTTTTCTCTCTCTCTCAATCTGTCCCTCTCTGGTCAAATTAAAATAAATAAATAAATAAAGTTAAATAAAAGAATTATTATTATTATTTAGCTCTCAGATCCGAAAATGTCTTTATTTTTTAGAAAATGGATTCCAGAAAGGTTAAAAAGCAATACCAGAGGCATAGGTACAGAATTGGATGTAGTCATTCAAAGCATTCAAGTAAGAGTATGGCAATATAAATATCTGAAGAGCAAGAGGAGAGGGGGAGTGAGAAAGCAAGCCACCAGTTCCACTGTTTGAACCACAGTTGGCCATGTGGGAGTCCAGTACCACCTGCTGTCCCCCATTTCATCCTTTTTTATTGCCAAATAATATTCTATTGTACTTCCCTATTTTGTTTACATATAAATTGGATGATGTACACTTGGATTATTTTCATTTTTTTATCTATTCTGAATATTACTATGAACATTTGTGTAGGCATTTTTTTTTGAGAGGTTTTTGCTATAGGGCATGTGCGCTCACCAGAAAGACAGAGAGAGACAGAGAGACAGAAAGCGAGATATCGTTCCCTCCCCCCACCCAGGGGGGATGGCCATGCTGCAATCCCTTCTTCATTCTCCTCTCAGGATCTTGGGCATGTACGCACACGTACCCAGCCTGAGTTTAAGCCACCGGGTCCGGGACTCAAACTGTGGTCAACTATATGGAAGTCCAGCGACATAGCCATTACACCATCTGCTGGTCCCTGTATAGGTATTTTTATGTGGCATGTGTTACCTTTTAACCAGCTATGATTAATTAATTCTATTACTAATTTTTCAAAATTTTAATGACCTTTTGGGTCTATTCTAGATTAGTGCTTAGATATTCATGAGGCATGCACTAAAGAGAGCTTTCAGTGCAGTAGAAATGAGTATTTATATGCTAAGGTAAGGAGCATATCAATTGAATCTTCCTAGATCATGGCAACAATTGAAATGTTTACATTGCCTATAACACACTGTTTTTCAAAATGTATTTACATACACTGTCTTAGTTTTATTTGAGTTTTAGGTCAATCGTATAAAACAAGCAAAGCAGACTTTGTTTTTGTTTTAATTTACTATTGAGTAAACTGAATCTCTGAGTGTTTAAGATCTCTGTTCAAGATCACAAATTCAGTCATTGAGAAGCAAGAACCAGAGTTCAAATCTCAGATTGGCCCACAGGTTTCTTTCTCATACCTCTCTTTATACATCCTTTGTCAAGCTATTTATGAGCATAGATTTACCTAAAATTCATGCAGAATTTTTTGATTCTAGGTATCCTACTCGACATGGATAGTTGTGGCTCTTAAAAAAGAACTTGCCATTTAGAGAGTTATAGGTTTTCTTAGTGTACCAGAGAATTCCAGCGGTTATCCATTTTAATTTAAATTGTTATGAAGAAATCAGGGGGATTTACTAAAGTGCAATAAACTCAGCAAGTAATCTTTCTCTTACTTTTAAACAGAAGTTTCTCATAAGAAAAGCTGTGTAGTGTTTCTATGCCAAGAAATTATCATAGCTCTCCAATTTGCATTAGAACAAAAGTGGTTTCAATGGATATTTTTGGTCATTGTAGTTGAGTAGGCTAATACATAATTTAAAATAGGCACCAACAGTTAGCGTAATGGCTATGTCGCTGGACTCCCACGTAGTCGACCATGGTTTGAGTACTGGACCCGATGGCTTAAACTCAAGCCGGGTGCGTGTGCATGCATGCCCAAGATCCCGAGAGGAAAATGGAGGAGAAGGGATTGCGGCATGGCCATCCCCCCGGGGGGTGATTTCTCACTTTCTACCTCTCTGTATCATTTTGTCTGTCTGGCAAGCACATGCACCCTGTAACAAAAAATCTCTCCAAAAAAAAAAAAAATTAAAATGAAGTATATATAACATAAGTAGTTTTGACCACACTAATAACTTTATTAGCATTTTACATAAATATTTTTAACCACTAACTATGGTCTGAGCCCACCACCACCACCACCACCACCACTTCATGTATTGAGATTTGGTTGTGATGGGATAAAGAGGGTAAAAACGTAACCTGACTATGGTGTTGAAAGATGAGGCTTTTGAGAGAATATTAGAATTAAGGGCATCAGGGCAGGGCTCCCTGATTGACTTCTGTCAGGTTTGTTTATAAGAAGAGATAATGAGCCAGAACAGA